AGGACTGCTAGCCTGAAGTATTTGCAGGACAAGGGGTTGGATTTTATTCTCTTCCTATATATATATATACACTTTCCAATTCCCACCCTTAGGAAAAAAAAAACCAAAAAAATGATTTTGTATCCCCACTGCCTGAAGGTCCTGGGTGGTGCTCAGGCAGGACCGGCAGGGATGCAGGCAGGAGGGACCCCTGGGCCCTCCAGTGCTCAAGCAGGGGTTCTGCTGGTCCTTCCCCAGCTCTGTTGTCCTCCTGGGAGGGCAGGGGACATCCTTGGACCCCTTTGGTCCCCTCCTGCAGTGGAAGATCTGCCTCTGGACCGTTTCCTGAGCAGTGGTGGGAAGAACGGGCTGTGACTGAGAAGAAAGCGATGCGTCTGGCTTAAAACATGGATAAACGCCGCCCAAAGAGCAACCTGCGATGAAACTCCCGCAGAGTTATAAAGCTGGGGATTAATAGGGTTCTAATGATATCAAATATTTACCCTTTGTAGTGCTCAGCCGTTCTGCGGTTTTAAGCGTTATCTTCTCACAGATTCCTACTGAAGACATAAATCTGAGTTAAACGACTGTTCAAACAGCCCTGGGAGGGGATGCTAGAGGTGCTGCTGCTGCCAGGGTGTTTGAAGTGTAGAAATAAGGCAGGGCTGTAGGTGAGACATCGTAATTTTTTATTAGACCAGCTCCCGTAGTTTGAAAAAAAGCCGACAGCTTTTCCAGCCCACGTGCCCATCCTTCAGGCCTGCTGATCATTGTGGAAAAGTTATCTTTTTTAAAAAAAAAAAAATTTTTTGTTAGAAAATCCATCTCCCTGCACTAGTATGATTCCATTTCAGCATGTCTGGTTAAATGCAGTCATTGGATGAGGCTTTGAGCAACCTGGGCTAGTGGGAGGTGTCCCTGCCCATGGCAGGGGGTTGGAACTCAATCATAGAATCATGGAATCATTAAGGTTGGAAAAGACCTCAAGGATCATCAAGTCCAGCCCAACACCACCCAACCCACTAAACCATGTCCCTAAGCACCACATCTACACGTTTCTTGACCCCCTCCAGGGATGGTGACTCCCCCACCTCCCTGGGTAGCCTGTTCCAATGTCTGACCACACTTTCAGTGAAGAAATTTTTCCTAATATCCAGCCTAAACCTTCCCTGGTGCAACTTGAGGCCGTTTCCTCTTGTCCTGTCACTTGTTACTTTAGAGAAGAGGCCAATGGTCTTTAAGGTCCTTTCCAACCCAACCCATTCCGTGATTCTGTGATGTACCAAGTGGAGGCTTCTCCAAAGCTTGTTAGCCCATGCTTGTTGTGTAGGCTTCAATAAATTTTGTTTCAGTGTTCAGGCTTTTGTCTACGATGGAATTTGTTATAACAAAGTTGAGTTTATGGTACCAGAGCAGGAATAAAGCAGCAGGAAACTTACAAGCCTAAGTGATGTGACTGTGATGAAGCAATGCAGGATGTCACCAGTATTCCCCATGGCTCGGTTCAGCTTCGTTTTCATTGAAGCACCCGGCTTTATGCTAAAGCAACACAGCCCTGCAGCCCCGCTGGGGTCGTTGGGATGGAGTTTGGGTCCCGCGGGGTCCGGCAGCAGCGGTGTTTCCCTCCTGTTTTACAGATGGCCATCACAGCAGCGACCCGTGGAGCTCCTCCAGCGGGATGAACCAGCCCGGCTACGGGGGCATGCTGGGCAACTCTTCCCACATCCCCCAGTCCAGCAGCTACTGCAGCCTGCACCCGCACGACCGCTTGGTAAGGCATGGGGGGGGCATGGCGGGAGGCACGGCTCCATGGGTGGTGGGTGGCACATCACACCCACCCGCTCGCGGCATCGATGTATCTTCGAGTTGTGCTGCTCAAATGTTCCCCATGCACTGTTGTGTGTTCTCTGCAAAAACAAGTTGGAGAAATCCCCAAAATGTTGCCTTAAACATTTTATTGGGAGTCCCCCAGCATGGAGGGGGCTGCTGCTGCCGTGGGAAGGATGGGAACAAGGTTGAGTGGATAGATAACTATCAATTTTCTGCCTTAAAAAAGGGAGGGATGGTTGGGTTTTTTTTTGGTTTTTTTTTTTCATTTTCTCCGGTACATCCTGATCTCTTGCAGGAGGAAGTTGCTGGGACTGATTCCATCTATTGTATTGGAACAGAGTAAAATTGGAATTAAATCTGATCTGAGTACAGCATAGGGGACGTTCTCCTGGTATCACCACGGAGTTAATTATGTAGAAATAACACCACGTTCCATCAATTCAGTTGTTTAGTTTTGTTTTGTTTTTAAGTAAGAGGTAAAGAAATGAACAGACAGCTAAAGTGAAGAAATTTCTCTCAAAATGCATGAACATGTTCTGTTTTTCTGTTCCATGCCTCTATTTTTCCTTCTTGAAGACCATTAGAAAGGAAGGATAATAAAGAATACTGTTTTTAACGAAGGGGTCCCTTGCTGTAAAGTCTGGCAGAACCATCTTTTCGGGAATAAGAAGAATTAAACTCACTCTTGCAAACTGAAAATTAATTTGCAAAACAAATCTTTAAAGTCTCCCATTTAATGAGGTTAGCACGCTGCGGCGTAAAATTAATAGGAAGTCAAAAGCAAGAGGAATTGCCTCAAAAACTGCTTCATCATGTCCTTATGAAAGGCATAATTAAGGCACTAAGCAAACTTAACATTGCTCTGAAGTGACAGGCATATATAATAAAAATGGAGCGTAACTTTTAAAGCCCAATTTACTCTAATTTGTTATCTAGGCTGGTACTCATTCATCAGAATTAGGGGGCTTTTCGTGGTGTCAGCTCAGGGTGGAGGTAAGACAGCAGAGTGCCTCCATGGGGCAAGCCTGCAAACACTTAAATTTCTGAAAAAAAAAAAAAAATTGAAACATCTGAGTTTCTTGGTGTTGTAATGCGTAGTGGCGTTTATGGAGAGTTACAATATTTCTGCAATGTAAAATGGGTAGGGATATTCCCCCTAAACTCCCCAAAATGTTTTTTTTTTTTTAAATTTTTTTCTCTGTAGGTATTTATCTTGACTTTCAGAGATGGGGAGGACCAGTGATACCAGTTCGAGCTGTTCAGTGTGATGATGCTCGTATTAATTATTTGTTATGTGCGCCTGGACTGGCAGAGCCTTCTGTATTTTCAATAGACCCTTTAAATAGACTCTGCCTAATTTCTGCTGGAGCATCGGTGAGATGTCAGCAGTTTGTGGTCAGCTGGAGCATCCGTGAGGGGTCAGCTTGTTGGGGAAAGTTTGAGTGATTTCAGTTGAATTCCCTGCATATATATCCTTAACTTCCCAGTGACCTGGAGAGAAGATGCATGGAGGGGAAAAAAAAAAAAAAGAAAAAAAAAAGCTAAAAAGCGGTTTATTATTTTTACTTTCTCAGGCGTATCAGTGATTTTCTATATAGAAGTGTTGAATAGAGAGAACAGGTTTATAATAAGCTCTGTTCAGATCCCAAGTTTTTCCTAAAATGTTTGTCATACTACGACACAGTAGTGGGTTGATGTCTCCCGCTGAGAAAGGAGAAAATCCCAAAGCAGCACTTCATTGCATGCCATGCAGCAGCAGTGGAGCAGAGGGGATGGAGTCCTTTGTGTTCAGACCGTTGACCTGAGCTCTGGTTGCTTACTGTTCCTCCATCACTTGAGAAATTCTGTTCAGTCAGGTTTGCGGCTGAAGCCCTGGAGCAAATGAGTCAAAGCCTATTTTTCAGACCCCAGTCAGAGCTGACGGTCATTTTTCCATGGGTAAGAAAAACAGGTTTGGGCTATGCTGTTTGTATTCTTTGAGATAACTTTCAAGTATTGGGTTACTTGACACTTAACGACAAGAAATCCCCCAAAAAAGTGATTAATAGTACAAACAAAGAGAAGGATGTTCTTAGACAGCTGACTGACCCCCCTGCGGAGGCAGAGGGCACAGGGATGATCTTGCTCCAACACTTTGATGCCTTGATCCTGGTTTCCAGCTACCCCTGGTTCTCAGGAGGCTTTGGATCAGAGTCTCCAAACCCAGAGCTCTTCTGCAGGACCTCTCTGCTGGGGCAATGCTGTGATAGAGAGAAGAGCTGGGCGTGTCTGAGGACCTGTCTGCACTGAGAACGTGGTGCGCGTTTTGTAATACCAGCCACGCACGGCTCGTAGGTTTTAATGTCCAAAGCAGTACGGGCTTTCTACCACTTCCATGGGAAAGCTTCTCCTCCAGCCGGTAGCTGTCCCTCTCTAAAAGGTTTGCTTGATACACCACCTAAGTTTTCGTTCTTAATTTCTTCTCATTACATCTCCACGGTGCCATCATCAGCAATGAGCCACCTGCTGTGGATGTTTGCCCGTATCAGATAGGTGTGTGCTGTGTCTCCTCCAAAATATATCAAATTAAGGTAGAAAAATACACTCTCTGCTTAGTTTTAGGGAAGAATTCTGCTTTTCTCAGCTGGGTGAAGTACGACAACTCTTGGGATGGGGGCAATACAAGCATCCTGCTGCCTTCTGTGTTCTCAGTAATTAAAATATTTTTTTTTTTATCCTTTTTGCCGCAGAGCTACCCATCACACTCCTCAGCAGACATCAATTCCAGTCTTCCTCCGATGTCCACCTTCCACCGCAGTGGCACAAATCATTACAGCGCGTCTTCTTGCACACCCCCGGCCAATGGGACCGAGAGCATCATGGGTGAGTCGGGGGCTCTCCTCCCCTCCTTTCTCCCCTCCCATCCGCTTCAGGGCATGGTGCTAGGCTAAAGGACCTGGAATCGAGGTTGAGGGTGATTTGATGGTATATCCCAGGGCGTGGAAGGACTTCTTCATTCAGAAGGTGCAGAGAGCAAGCAAGAATTTAATGAAAATTACTACATCAGAGTTGACGTTTGCCTCCTTTGCTTGTGTTTTTTACTACAACTTATTTTTGTGAATGAAACGCAATTACAGCAAAGCTCTTTGCCGCAGGGTTTGTACAGAAGGCATCACATCAGCTCGGTGCCCGATCCTGCTAGTTATAGTGTGTGATTTTATTTTCTTTAGTGGTTTGGTTGCCTGCAGTGCTGCCGGAGCCGGTACTTCTATATCACGACATTCATGCCCTTCGGTTTTTTGCTGGCTTCCCACGTGGCGTGGGGGACGCGGCGATGGCAGCGTGTCCCCGTAAGGAGAGAGCCACCTCTGACATTACTGAGGGTGACTCTGTAAATTAAGAGCATACCTCTGTACAGTTTAATATTTGGCAAATACCGGTTTGTTCTTAAATACAGGAAATAAAAAAAAATATTGCTTCGCTGTATCTCAAAGAGCAAATAAAGCTAAATGAAATAATTGGTAAATAGGGAGCACGTCGCTGGACACATGTTTTGGATTACACACACGATCCTACGCCGAGTGGCTGCGAGCAGGACTCATGCAGTAAGAATGGAGGGTGGGTTCAAGCATTAACACATGGGCATCAGATTTTTTTTTCAAGTCCTCAGAACAAAGAAGAAACTAAATACAGCCTCTTCTTAATTTGTCACCGTCTGAGAAAAATGTATCGCGTTTCTGGGCTCAATCTTGCCGTTCCGTTGAGAGTTCCTCCTTTACGATGTATAGCTGCTCCTGGGCGCGTGGTACAGGAAAGTCCTTCTCTCTTTCTCCCTCCAAAGAAGTGCAGCAGAGTCACATTTAATTCAGCCGTCTTTACACAGGGTGTGTAGAAGCCTCACAGATGATGTTTAGGGATGCTAAACCTTGCAGAGGGATGGGAGCAGGTAGGAGTGCGAATGCAGCCTGTGGAACCTCCCAGAAAAACACCCCAATTTCCCATGTGAAAAATGCGTCCAGATTTTCATCTGGATTCTTCTGAAAACCCCAGCGTGTGAATCAGAAGAGCAACACGAGCGTGCAGATTTTTTTTTTTTTTTTTTTTTTGGCAGCTGTAAACATTCAGCAAGTGGTCCTGTTGAGCTATGTCTGAGCTGGGGGCTGCAAAAGCATTTCTTGGATCTCGGTGCAAGAAATCTCCTCCTAAACCAGCAAACCTCCCTTGCAGTCTGGGCACACACACTTTTTTCCCTGAGTTTCCCAAGAAAGCTGTTGGAGCTGTGTGCCTCCCTCACAGTCCCTGGGCGAGAGGATGCTCAGCCCGGCAGCGCTGTCCCTGCACAGCTCCTGGGATGTCTGCGGCGGTTCATTTTACTCTACAAGTTGAGTTTTTATTTGCAAAGGTCTGCAGGGGTGCAGTGTTTAGGCAAGCAGTGATTGAGCCAGAGCACCTTGAGCATCCGCTGTACGAGTCTGTCGGATCCGTCTGATGCGTGTATTCGTCCCGCTCGCTGCTTTCGCTTCGGTGACATGTTGTTTGTATGACGTTATGCGCTGTGACCTGCAGCTTTTCCAGGAGAAGCATTATGTGCCGTTCCCCTTGAGGCGCTGGTTTCACAGTAATTTTATTACCCGAGCAGTCACATAATGCTGCGCTGTATATTTTACAAGAATGTCAAGCTCCCAGTTACGGGAGGGTGGCGAACTGTCACGCAGTGTAAGAAGAATATGACTTTTATCCAGCAGTGTCACTTCTTCATCATTTGGGGAGACCATCAGCTGTGAACGCTGAGGTGGTGCAAGTTTTTCCACTCTCCTTAACACAGAAACATAATTTCCCGTCTGCAGTTTCGGAAAGCGCTATTCCGTCGGAAAAGCGCGAGTTTGGGATCTAAACTAAAAAAGTCTGTCTGGAATTCACTCATAGGAGGCTCCAGCCTATCGGTTACACGAGATGCTTTGCTAGATATAATTATGCTCACCAAGATTCCGATTCGTGGAAGTTTATTCAATAATCTGAGATTTACAGTCAGAATCCCAGCAGAAGGGTGTGAAAAAGCTGCACTTCATCATGCTGTCCCTTTGCTTTCCAGGGCAGAATTGTTCTTTGCAGAAACACGCTGAAGAAAGTTTTGTGAGATTAACTATAACAATAAACACGCTCTGCAGCAGGGCTAGAGTCAATCCATTGAAAGGTTGCAGTCTTTCGCGATGTCTTCAGAGCGTTAAGAGTCTTGCGAGTGGGGGAATGGCTCACGAGTCAAAGCGACGGGTTTGTCGCTGCATTGCCAAGCCCTGTTTTGCAGTCCTGCTCCCAAGTTATCTTTGTCTTCTGCATCACACCAAAGTTTGCTGATGCTTCATGTCCGTGGAGACAAGCGGAGGAGCTGATGGTCAGGCTCACGAGTGCAGAGTTGTGTTCTCTAACAATAAGTGCATTTTGATGAGTTTTGAGGAAATAAAGAGGTGCATAAGCAGATAAGAAAAGCCTTGCTGCTTCATCCAGGGCGTCCATCTAGCTTGGCATTCAGTGACAAAACGTGATCCTGGCCGTTTCTGCAGCTCCTGCCCTTCCTACTGCCCTGGCAGCCAGGGATGTCATGTTAGCGACATTGGAGGGGACATCCCTACCTGGTTCTTCATGCTCCTCTTCAGGACCCTGTCGTCCGTGCATCATCTAATCCCTTCTGAACCTGCTGAAGCTGCTGCTGTGGCTTCCCCAGGCTGCGTGCTTGTTGACTGCTCTTTGCAGGTGGGCTTCACTTACCTGTTGTAATTTATTTTCCTGGAAGTTTTCATTCCTGTTGCCTCAAACCCTTGTCCATCATCGATTGATTAATCGAAACTTGTCTTGAAGTCTGGGTTTGGCTACTTCACTCAGTTAAAGCCTGTTGCAGAAATGTCTTTGGTAAGCTGTGCGCTTCCAGATCTGCAGGAGTTCCGTAGCGTTCCTTGCCCTCTGTTTTTCAGTGTTTTGCAGAAGAACTTGAAAACATCCATCCTTGTTCAGACCCACAGCTCATCTATGCAATGGTCCTGTCTCCAGCAATGACTCTAAGGATTTCCTTGGGAGGAATTAAAAAAACAAAGCAAGCTTATATAATGTTTTCCCAGTCCTGGATGCAGCGCTGAGTATTTAGGAATTCATCCTTCCTCACGATGTAACGCAGCTGTTTCTGGAGGCTTGGCCCGGCATGGTGACGTTACGTGTTTGTGAAATGGTGCTCCTCCTCTTTCGTTTTGTCTCTGCTCTCTCAAGACCTGATGTGGTCCCCCCTCCTTCTCTTTTTGCCATGAGCACTGGATGAGAACCTTTCTGCCCTGCGTGGGTTTGTGTACCCTGCATCACATCCTGCCGTAGTGGTCCATTCTCCAAGCTGGAGAATCCCCATTTATTGTGTTCATCCTCTAAAGGAACCACCTTCTTCTGACTTGTCTTCACTTCTGCTCTGTAGACTTTGATGCTCTTTCTTGATGACCTTACCAGATTTTTGCTCTGTATGGATGAAGACATTGCTCATTGTTGGGTTTTTCCTGTGGGCAGCGAGGGACTGGTTCTACTCCTTCACCATCAGCTCAGGTTGTCAGCTAATTCCTAGCGGTAGCTCTGGGTTTTCTCCTCTTTCTGGACTGCTTGTTAATTAAATGAGAGCCCACTTGTGTGTACTTACGGCATAAGGCTTTTTCCCCCCATGTTTGTTGCCTGGTAGCATTTATTGCCCAGCAAGTTGGTATTGCAAGAGCTGCTCTTTGCACATAATGTTACATTTTATTATCCCGAATCAGGATCTTACCAAACATCACCACACCGGTGTGTGCCATGTCTTTTTGCAGGCCATGCAGCAGTACGTTGAACAGTACGGATCTGCTGGTAATACTCCTCCCACATAAAGCTGACTGTTCATTCCTG